AGTTTTGAGCTCGAAGAGCTCAAATTGACACAAAAATAATATTTTTGAGCTCGAAGAGCTCAAAAACGTAATGTGTAGTTTGAAGCGTTCAAGTACAAAATGAGCGGGAAGTTGCAGGGATGGCCTTTAGGGTGAACCGTTTTTCTAATTTTTTTTTTTTCCAACGCCCTACACAGTAAAAAATTTTACGTCATTGCGTCAAAAAATTTTGTGTTAAAAATTTTAATGTTAAATATTTAACACTTTTTTGTGTTGATTCAACACTCTTTGGTGTTGATTTAACACAATAAATGTTAAATCAACTAAAAAAAGTGTTAAATATTTAACACAAAAATTTTTAACACTAAGTTTTTTGACGCAATAACGTAAAATTTTTTACTGTGTATTGTACATACTTTACATATATTAGAATTCTCATTTGATCCTCATACTCCTCAATGAAGATTTTGAGGCTTTCTTTCGGATTTGAACCCTACTATACGCTGGAAAGAAATAATGCTGTTTTCTAACCATGAATTTTTTTATCTCGAGGAGTCCTTTCAAACTATTTGTTTTATTGTCGATAATAATAAATTTTTTGAAAGATGAGTATCAATTATTACTGTTTTTACCACCAGTAAACGAAAAATAGCTTCACTTAAATTAACTAAAAATTATGTCAATTAAGTTAACAAATTTTTGTGACAAGAAGATAGATAAAGAAAATATTAATTACATTGTTGTTCTTTATACACTTTTACTCATGATTATTTTCGAATATTGTACTCATTTTTTAATCAAACTCTCTTATGCTGTCATTAAATATAGGAAGAGACTCTCTGAATGAGTTTACTAAAGAATTAAAAATTAAATATAGAGAACGTGATGCGGTTTATAAAAGAGTAAAAAGACATAACGATACGGATCTTTTTCAACTTTTTAAAAGAATGAGGAAAGAGCTGAAACACGAAATAAGTCGTGCTCGTGAAAACTATTTAAAAAACTCGCTGTCCAATCTATCTTACGGAACTCAAATTTGGAGTAAGCTAAAACACCTAGGCCTTGTAAAACGTACTACATCTTCTCCTCTAAATCATTTTGAACCGTCTGACTTAAACGAACATTTTGCAGACATGGTACGTCGACATCCAGCATGCGACCAACAATTTGTAAATTCACTTTTCCAATTACATAAAAGTAAAGTAAATTCTTCTTTTACTTGGACTGAAATAAATATAGTTGATGTGACTAAAGCTCTACACTTGACTCTTCAAAAATCTAAATGGAATAGTCCAGATGGACTTGATCTGAGATGGTTAAAAAATCACGTACCTCAAATTACAATCCTTCTTACAGCACTTTTTAATCGGTCATTAGACACTGGAGTTTTCCCTCATACATGGAAAGCAATATTTATAATATCCATCAATAAAGTCACTCCCCCAAAATCATTATCAGATACGCGCCCAATAGCTAATACATCTCATCTGAGCAAGGTCTTTGAGAGAATCATTGCAAATCAGGTAATAAGCTACTTAGAAGATAATGAGCTGCTTGATAAATATCAATCAGGGTTTAGGAAACATCATAGCACTCAGCCTTACTAAAACTTATAGAGTTGCGATCCATTGAGAGGAAAAGAGCGAAAGACTGAATCTAGAAGGAAGAAATAACATCTTAGCCACCAGAAGGAAGAGCGGCAGCTAATTCCTCCCCCCGCGAAGAAATGCCTTACGGCGGTACCATGGGGGATCAGAGGATAAAAGAGAAAGGGGTTTAGGGTTTAGTGGGTAAGGGCGTCAGCGTCGAGTTTTAGTATGACGCTGCGTCAAGTCGCCACATATCCGGGCCAACATCTACGCCTAGAATCCGTAAAAAGGATTCCCCCCAAAAATAAAAAACACACACACACACACATACACACACACACACACACACACCGTGACAACCTCGCGGGGATAGTCAGGGAAGCTTCCTGTGACCTTCAAAATCTTCGATTTTCTTAGCGGGAAGTTAAAAAGAATTTTTAATCTGATCGAAACAATTTTTGGATATTATTATTAGCGTTAAGTTCTTAATTATAATTAATGTAAATAAAATATGATGCATACAAATTCGGCTATTTAAGTATACGTCATTGCGGATAGTAATAAGTGAATTCCAAAATTTTATATTTTAATTGAATTTTATTGTTTTCACAGGAAATAGCCAAAATGATTCAACTAGAGGAGATGTCTATAAATCTAAACGATCGTTCAATCAGTGATCAATTTTTAAAAGATCAAAAAATTGCAATGGAAGCACAGGACGCGGAGTTTGCACAAATGTTACAGGAAAAAGAAAGAATTAAAGCTCGCCGTGCACGTGAACGTGCTAAGCAGAAGAAATTAAACCGTCAATATGGTCGAGAACAAAAATTTTCCACTGATGTGATCGAATCCCAAATTCTAAATAGATCAAATTCAGCTATCAGCGATGACAAGGAATTGGTTCAACTTACTCATGACCTCACTGACGAACTATCTCCACATTCAAATAGTTCTGGAGTGCGAGTTTCTAGTGACTCTAACGAAGATTTTCAAAAGCTTTTAAATGTCGCAATAAAAATTGACCCCACGTATTGTAATGATAATGATAAAAAATGTTTAACTAATTCCGGTAATGATTTGAGTTCTTCCCGCGTTTTTTCACATTCGGCTCAGGAGCTTGAATGCGACAGTGTACCATGTTATATGCCAATACAAGGTCAACGACGTTCTCAAATACCATCTCCACCTATATCTCATGAGGAAAAAAATAAGCGTAAAGTGAAAGATGGTTGTAAAAACCAATAAAATATTATATGGCACACCAAAGCAACAAAAAGAAATTGGTTTACTCGAGTATAAATAAATTTAAGGGTGTGATCTCATGTTAAAAAATTCTGAAATTGCAAACTATCTACTTTTCATCGTTTTTTCAATTTTGTTTTTTTAATATTTACTTTGACTAGAACTTTCCATTATGGTTTAATTTGAGAATTTTAGCTTGAGATGACTGGATTTCACAGATGACTTTAAAAAAAATCACTTGAAGTTTAAAAAGAAAATCAAGAACTGCTTTTTAGCGATGAATGCCTTACTGTTTATTAAGTGACATATAAACTCAAATTTAAGTTTTTAATAAATTTCTATGATTTGTTACTATTCTATAAAAATGACAGATTTTAATTTATACTTTTAAGGTTGACACCACTACGTTTTGAAGACGTCAACGATTCAAATTTCTAAAAAGTTTAGATGAAAAATTCTTTGACGACAATTAAATAAAAAAAATTTTCATAAATACGAAATTCTTTGTGTTATTCGACGACCATATAAACGATATAGAAATAATAAAAAAAAATCATTCTTGTTCGTGAAAATAAGATGTTTGTTAGCACCCCTAAAAAAATTCGATAGATGAAAATTTTACGTCAATAAATAAGATCTAAGTGAAAAATTTCCAAGTAAAACTATTTAATAGTAAGAAGTGTCCATTCACACACAAAAAAGACATGTTTTTAATAGTATTTATCGTTATCAAAGTAGCAAATCAGTTGCACGTCAACATGCAGTGCTAACACGGTTTTCTCAAAACAGAACTTAAATTAAAATCATTATATATTGATAATAACTAACTATGAAATCTTCAATACAAGAAAACTTTAATTTAATCGTCAAAATTATAAAATGAAAATAAAATAACAATGAAAATTTTTAGATTTTCCATTCAGTCACTTATAATTTTTCGTATAGTGAACTGCAACCGTGAATTTTCTTTACCTATTATTTATCAAATTTATGACTTGAGAAAATAAATAAAGGTCAAAATTTTTATTTCTGAATTTCATATGAGAGGCTATTGAATGAATTAATGAAAAAAAAAAAAATTAATGGTTACTTACTTACTAGATTATAAATGAAAACTAGGGTGATTCAAAAAATAAAAATATTTTTAACTTCCCGCTAAGAAAACTGAAAATTTTCAAAAATCGGGAAGTTATTGGTTTTACCTCGTTTTGCAAAAATCGAGTTTTTATCAGATCTTGACGTTTTAAGGTCACAGGAAGCTTTCCTGACTATTCCCGCGATGGTGTCCGTGCGGCTGTATGTATGTATGTGTGTGTGTGTGTGTGTGTGTGTGTGTGTGTGTGTGTGTGTGTGTGTGTGTGTGTGTATGTATGTTGTAACGGTTGGTTCCTGCTACTATGTCGCCCCTTATTTTAATTTTTGAATTTAAGGGCGCTACTGGAATATTTGCATGGTTTCCAGAACCGGTCCAAGCAATGAGAGATATCTAAGGGTCGAGAAAGGTTATAATTAGGTTAACACAAATAATAACAATTATTTTCAAATTAAACTCCAACTTTATTCACTGACTTTTACAATAGCCTTGAATATTATTTCACACACACACACACTCTTATACAATATCAAAAATCTTAATCCTTACAGCACCCTCATATGGAGCGTCTATGCTGTAGTTGCTATCATAGTCCCTATTCCTGACAGTACTCTCTTATGCCCGGGTAAAAAAATTTATATATCATTATATATACTTATATGTTATTATATATTACTTATATATAATTATATATTACTTACATATAATTATATATGATTATATGTAATTCTAATTATATATAATTATATGTAATAATATATAATTGGATGTAGTATTCTTTAATAATTATATATAATCATATGTAATTACATATAATTATATATTATCATATATAATTACATATAATTATATATAATTGCATATAATTATATATGATTATATATAATAATATATAATTAGATGCAGCATTTTTTAATAATCATATATAATTATATAAAATTACATATAATTATATATAATCGCATAAGGGGAATCACGTGACGCTTGAAACCGAACGGACGCTTCCTATAATCACTCCTCAATTCTCTAGTCAGTACTGTTATCTACGAAAGTGCTGTGAAATACAATAATTATAAAAAAGTAGTGCGTGTTCTTAGCTTTGTATTGAATAATCAATCTTGTCTTTTCTATTGCGAATTAAATCTTAAATTCACTAAATAAATCGTCATCAATTAGAGAGGTTAGGATGGAAGAGAGGCCAAAGGGGACAGATAGCTCGCTACAAGGTACTAATAGCGTCATCTCTGGATCAAATAGCGTACTTACTAATGAAAAACCTCCCTCATCTGATCTTCAATTATCTACTGGTGTGTCTGGAGGTAACAAATACTAGAGGGAAACAGCCTAAAGCGCTAACCTTCACACGTGAAAGAGCCGGCTCTACTGGCTGCATCGAAGATTTTCTTAATAAAAGAAAGAGGCCAGAAGACTTGGACCTAGATAACTCGACGCTCATGTCAGAAGACAATTTCCAGCTGTCCAAGAAGATGAATAAAGGCCTCCCGCAATCGTCGTGATCCCTGCCTGAATCTACAAAAGTACCACATCAAACTCATGATGACCAATCCCCAGCAAATGATGGACAATCACTCAACCTGGGTTCAGAGATGCTAGACAGCTCTTTACCTGTCAATGCTGCGACCATCATAAATATGTTCAACAACCTAAGCAAGCAAATGAGCAGGAATACCTCCCAAATAGAAAACCAGATCAAGATAAGTCAGCAAAGCAACGAAGCCGCGATCGAGCAAGTTAAAAAAGATCTGACTGACCAACTTGGCAGTATCAAGGAAAGACAGCATAAATTAGAAGCCGAAATCGAGGACATTAAATCCGGTAAACTTAGTCACGCATCGATACAGAACCTCGCTCCAGAGCTTGCAGAAACACAAGTTAAGATTAAACACCTCGAAGACTTGTTCCACCAGCAAGAAAAACACGCCAAAAAATTAAATGTAGTAAAAAATCATAGCTAGGCGGAACAAAACCTTAAGGCTGATGCGAGTAAATTCATTGAAACCAACTTTAAACTCTCAAATATAATTGAAAGCGTTTCACCCATCAATCGCGAATGTAAAATCGCGCGTGTGAAGTTCAGCAGTATTAGCGCTAAAGAAGCGGTGATGTCGTCCAAAGCCCGTGTCTTAAAAAACACGTCTATGTCAATTAACCATGATCTTATCAAAAGAGCACTTCTTTGCAATAAAAAACTCCAGGAAAAAGCGACCGAACTCCGGAATGAAGGCAAATCGGCAAAAATCAAAGGAAACCGCCTACTCCTGGAGAATAATTGGTATAGCTGGGACTTAAACAACGAGTCAATACGCCCGGTGGAAAGTAAAAACCCTTCCGGTGACAAATTGCACAATCATATATAATTATATGCAATTATATGTAATTATATATGATTATTAAAAAATACTGCATCCAATTATATATTATTATTTATTATATATAATTACACATAATCATATATGATTATATGTAAGTAATATATATTTATATATAAGTAATATATAATAACGTATAAGTATATATATTTATATATAAGTAATATATAATAACATATAAGTATATATAATTATATATAAATTTTTTTACCCGGGCCCCGCTTCGCTGGGCGAATTAAAAAAGAAATAAATTAAATGTTATAATTCATTTTTATTAATTTTTTTCATATTTTCTATACCTCAAATTTCTTTTCTATATCTTGTGTGTTTAGTAAATGCAATGCTTTTAATCTGTTACATTTTCGCGATCCCGTAATAAGAACAATTCATCGGTTATGTGATAAAATGTATGTAAAATTCTTAGTCCGTTGACTGAATAGCTATATGTAATATTAAATTTTGGAAACGTTACAATGACTTTTTTGCCGCTGTCAAAGAGACGATTTTTGTAAAAAAATATCACTATTAAATAAGAAAAATATTTAAATCCGTTGACCTTGGAGGCCATCCCGGTATTCGTCTGTTTCTCTTGAGATTCTATCAAATTTTATATTTGTAGGAACTGCATTTGAAGAATATGAATTTTTTGACAATTATCACTCCCGCACTCCTATGTGGGGGAGGAACTCCGTAAGATCCTATTTGAAATGATTTCTACATTATAAATAAAAGATTCCAACAAAACTTCGAGTCTATAAAAACTATCGATTAGAAATGAAATTTTCATTGTTAACGCCCTTACAATCCCTTTTGGGGTTAGAATTCGAGAAAATTCATTTTCAGCTAAACTTGACATCGTACACGAAGATTCCTACCAAATTCAGAATCTGCAGCAGTTACAGTTTGGAAATTAAAATTTTAGATTTTAATACCCACCTCCGCAATCCCTATCGGAAGTAGAATTTTTTGGAATCCGTTTTGAGATGATCTCTACATGACAAATAAAAGATTCCTACCAAATTTACAGCTTTTAGAAGCTATATTTTGGAAATTATGATTTTTTTTTGGCAACACCTACCCTCGCAATCCTTATTGGGGGTGATTCGTCGTAAAATCCGCTCTCAGATTATTTCTATACCACATGTAGAAGATTTTTACCAAATTTGAGGTCTATAAGAGCTATATTTTACAAACGGGCACTTTTGATTATCAACGCCCCTGTAATCCATTAACTGAACTGGACAGGATACACGAAGATTCTCGCCGAATTCGAAGTCTGTAGAAGTTACAGTTTTGAAATGAAAATTTTAGATTTTAACACCTACCTCCGCAATTGCTATCGGAAGTGGACTTTATTTAAATCCATTTTAAGGTGATCTCAACGTAAGAGATAAAAAATTTTTACTAAATTTAGAATTTTTAGAAGCTATATTTTGGAAATTAAGATTTTTTATTGTTAACACTCACCCCCACGATCATTATTAGAGTTGATTCGTTGTAAAATCCATTATTAGATCATT